TCTGAAAAATCCTCCAGCAACAGAATATTACTATGCGATAGAAATACAACTAGAAATATTTTCATGTTTCTAGAAATATTTTCATGTTTCTAGAAATATTTTAATGTTCAACTGGAAATATTTTCATGTTTCCATTCGTATTCTTATCGTGTAACAGTATTCCGTAGTTGGTGTATTTCAGGTTTTCATAAATAGTACAACTTATTGAAGGTTTGTTTGTTGCAGCGTAGAAAGCCACCGAAAGCTAGACCAGGCCATTCAGTGTACCAGCTGCCGCCTCTTGTAACTTCCAACGAGAAATTTTATGTGTACAGCATACAGACATGCTGCAGATGAAAACATGAATGTTAGAGCTACTGAGAACCTCCTTTGCATTGCTTTAAAAAGAACCCAGTTAGCCAGTGAACACTAATTAGTATATATATATATATATATATATATATATATAGTATTTATATGACATATATACTCAGTCCAACCTAAATACCCACTTTTTTGGTGCAGCATGAGCTCAAGAAATGAAGCCTTTAGGGTTTGTTTGGCGAGTAATGCATCTACGTTTACGTACATAGACAGACAGTCTACGCTGCACAATACAAGCATATTGTCTCTCGCTAATTCCTTATTGCTGAATAGGGATAGCTAGGTAGCAACGCATGGTAAGGTGAATAAGAAGAATGTTCTAAGGGGCAAAGCAGGTCGGTATGAATAGCAGTTGACGCCAGGTGGTCCACTGGTCTCAGCAGAGAATATGGCGATATTGTTCTATAGAACAATTAAAATATTCTGAAACAAAAGTATTTAATACTTTCGTTGCAGTTTTCTTCGCGCTGCAAGAGCGTAGCAGCTGATTCCTCTTTGATAGATATAAAGGAGTAGGCGCGAAGGCAGCAGCATAGTACACGCACCGCAGTGAAACCCAGTGAAATGCAAGCATCAGCACTTTTTTTTTTCATAAGCAAGAAAAATAATTTATTATTTAACTATCACATACAAAAAAAGAAAATAAAAACAAGAGACAGGAGTTGTTTAGGTCCTATAAGCACAGCAGCAGTAGTAGTAGCTCACACCATACAGACCGTTGCTCTCACTACCCAGCAGAGATACATGAATTTCGCATATTCTTATGGTTTTAAACTTCTAGAAATGAAATATATTTTTCAAGTTCAACTGAAATATTTTATTTATTTTTTTTTTTTTTGCAACAAATGAAATGAAACGACGCCACAGACACCGCAGCCCACACAAAGGCACACCTGGCGTTCGTATACGTCTAAAGAAAAAATAAAAATAATTTTTTTTGTGTGTTTCGCTTTTTTCTTCTTGCGTCGATGAAATAAAAGAGAGAAAGCAAACAAAATCACGGCGGAGATGAAACAAGTTGAACAGCTGAATAGAACGACGCGTATGAGCTCTGCGGTATCTAGAAGCAAGACAAGAACGTTCAGTATTTTTTTTGTTGATCTATGGGTGAAAACTGTGTTTATTTTAAATAATAATTAACTGAAATATATTTAAATAAAATAAAATATGCACACAAATGGCTGTTTGTTTGCTTCGCTCTGCTGCTGCTGATCAGGAAGCATCGACGGCGGATCACCGCAGACGCTTTG